AACCAAAAAGGAAGTTAGGGGGCCCCATGAGAAACCATAAAAAGGAAGTTTTTTGGGGGGACCCAGGGTTAACCATAAAAGGGAAGTTAGAGGGACCCATGAGTAACTATACAAAAGTTATGGGGACCTATGAGTAACCATAAAGGAAGTTATGGGGGGCCCCCATGAGTAACCAGGTAGAAAAAAAATTTAGCGACTCGATTAAAAATGAGGAAAAAAAAACAAAAAAGTCACAAACCCGTGACGGAACAATACACAAAAAACTCGACATGAGGAGGAAGCTCACCCACGACGTTTTCGTCCAACTTTGCCATTTAAAAGAAACACTGTCTTAACACTGGCTTAAACACTGGTTTAACACTGCTTACCGGCTTAACCTTTTTAAAAACACGTATGTTTTTTAAGCCAGCATTTTAAAAATTTTAAAAGGGAAGATTTTCACAAGCCAGAAATAAAAAATTCATTATAGGTTGGAAAATTTCCTTGCCTTTAAAATTCACATACAATGTCGAGTTGACAGAACACGTATGAACACGTTGATTGGGCAGAACACTGATGAACTGTTGTCAAAAACAAAACTGTACTGAACACTTGATCGGAATAAAACACTATTAAACATTAAAAAAACGCAAAATATTGTTCACACCTGTATAGACAACGTGAGTCGTGTTCACATAATGTGAATGTTGGAGTGATTGTGGTGGGGGATTTTTTGGGGTGAGTTGTGTGTGATTGATGGGGTTTGTGGTGATGGGGTCTTTTTTTAATGGTTAAGGAAGTTGGGATAGGAGGTTGTGGTGATTGTGGTTATTTTAGGTGGGTTGTAGTTTTGAATGGCTGATGGCGGTTGTTGTTATTGAGGTGATTTGGGGGATTGCGGGCCGAGAGTTGAGGTAATAGTTTTTTTGAGTAGATGTGGTAAGAGATGGTTGAAGATGAGTTTGTGGAGGATGGGTTGTTCAAATTGAGTTGTGGAGATGGGTTGTTGAAGATGAGTTGTGGAGATGGGTTGTTGAAGATGAGTTGTGAAGATGGGTGGTTCAAGATGAGTTGTGGAGATGGGTGATTGAAGACGAGTTGTTAAGATAGGTGGTTGAAGATGAGCTGTGGAGATGGGTGATTGAAGACGAGTTGTTAAGATAGGTGGTTGAAGATAAGTTGTGGAGATGGGTGGTTCAAGATGAGTTGTGGAGATGGGTTGTTGAAGATGAGTTGTGAAGATGGGTGGTTGAAGATAAGTTGAGATTTTGGGAATAAAAGGTGATTTATAGTAATGGATAGTTAATGAACAATGTAAATACACGAGAATAAATTACGCTGATTAAACAGCTTCGTGAGGAATTGTGTTGGAAGCAGGTCGTTTATCAACGTCACGGTTCTCTGAACCATCTACATTCCTGTCAGATACTGCAACTTCTTGAGATCTTAATACTTGGGGAATTTTCTTGTCAAACCCCTTGGGCATGACCTACTTCCACATTGGACAAATGTGACTCCACCTACGACTGCTGCACCTCTCCTGCCTACAGTATATAAGCCACTTTTCGCTCATATGCTGTATTCTATTCAAGATTGAGGGAAACTGACCACATCGACTCAAGGTTGAGGGACTGATTATGATGAAGCCACTGTGTCGCGAGAAGTTTCTCAGAAAAGATACCAAGAGTTGCAACATGTGTCTAATTTATCAACATGTCGGTTCTTGAACCATTCATCTACATAACATCTAAAACTATTTTAGATATTTTTTTATATATCAAGGCTTATCATTTTATCTTTGTATCAGAGGATACATTAAAAATTTTTAAAACTTAATTTCAACTACCTATTCTTCAGTCTGGAGAGTTGAGGTAAGGTTACAATACCAACACTATGGTCACGCTATCTTCAAAGAATATTAAAGATCATGATTTTGCTTAATTTTTAATTTTTGATGTATGCAGAACATGTCTGGGCATGTTATCTTTGTCGCCATCCTCCGCACGGGATTAATAACATAAACTTAGTCTTCTGTGTATTTTTCACCTAACTGGGTAATTTGGTTGAGATATTCCTGCAAGGAATAGAGAGGATCGCTAATCGTAAATAGTCGAGATCTTCATCAAACTTACAGAAATTTTTGTTATAAATCCCATTTTTAAGTTTTGTTATTTTAATCAGAGCAAAAAGGGAATAGCGACTTAAAAACAGCAGAAAGGAATGAAGAGAGTGTAGTGTGGACCTGGTGAGAGTGTAGTGTGGACCTGGTGAGTGTATAGTGTGGACCTGGTGAGTGTGTAGTGCGGACCTGGTGAGAGTGTAGTGTGGACCTGGTGAGAGTGTAGTGTGGACCTGGTGAGAGTGTAATTTGGACCTGGTGAGTAGTCTGGACCTGGTGAGAGTGTAGTGTGGACCTGGTGAGAGTGTAATGTGGACCTGGTGATAGTGTAGATTGAACCTGGTGAGAGTGTAGTCTGGACATGGTGAGAGTGTAGTGTGGACCTGGTGAGAGTGAAGTGTGGACCTGGTGAGTGTAGTGTGGACCTGGTGAGAGTGTAATGTGGACCTGGTGACAGTGTACATTGAACCTGGTGAAAGTGTAGTCTGGACCTGGTGAGAGTGTAGTGTGGACCTGGTGATAGTGTAGTGTGCACCTGGTGAGAGTGTAGTGTGGACCTGGTAAGGATGTAGTTTGGACCTGGTGAGTGTAGTGTGGACCTAGTGAGAATGTAGTGAGGACCTGGTGAGAGTGTAGTTTGGACCTGGTGAGTGTAGTGTGGACCTCGTGAGAGTGTAGTGTGGACCTGGTGAGTGTAGTGTGGACCTGGCGGGAGTGTAGTGTGGACCTGGTTAGAGTGTAGTCTGGACCTGGTGAAAGTGCAGCCTGAACCTGGTGAGAGTGTAGTGTGGACCTGGTGAGAGTGCATTCTGGACCAGGTGAGAGTGTAGTCTGGACCTGGTGAGAGGGTAGAGTCGATCTGGTGAAAAGTCTAGTGTCGACTCGTGAGAGTGTAGTGTGGACTGGTGAGAGTGTAGTGAGACCCGATGAGAGTGTACTGTGGACCTGGAGAGAGTGTAGTGTGGACCTGGTGAGAGTGTACTCTGGAAACCCGGTGAGAGTGTAATCTGGACCTGGTGAGAGTGTAGTCGGACCAGGTGAGTGTAGTCTGGACCTGGTGAGAGTGTAGTGTGATATGGTGAGAGTTTAGTCTATGCCTGGTGAGTGTAGTCTGGACCTGGTGAGAGTTAGTGTCGACCCGGTGAGAGTGTAGTCTGGACCTGGTGTTTGTGTCGTAAGGACGTGATAGTGTAGTAAGGACCTGGTGAGAGTGCAGTTCGGACCTGGTAAGAGTGTAGTGGAACCTGGTGAGTGTAGTCTGGACCTGGTGGAGTGTAGTTTTGGACCTGGCGAGAGTGTAGTCTGGATCTGGGAGGGTGTAGTGTAAAACCTGGTGAGTGTGTAGTCGGACCTGGTGAGAGTGTAGTGTTTGGGCCTGGTGAGAGAGTAGTGTGGACCAGGTGATAGTGTAGTTGTACCTGGTGAGAGTGTAGTTTTGGGCTGGTGAGAGTGTAGTGTGGACCTGGTGAGAGTGTAGTGTGGGACCTGGTGAGAGTGTAGTCTGAATCCTGGTGAGAGAGTTGTCTGGGCCAGGTTGATAGTGTAGTTTGGACCCAGTGAGTGTGTAGTGTGGACCTGGGAGAGTGTAAATGTGGACCTTTTGAAGTGTAGTGTGGCCCAGTGAGTGTAGTTTGGACCTGGTGAGAGTGTAGTGTCGACCTGGTGAGTGTGTAGTCTGGATCTGGTGATCCGAACTTGCTCTCGAAAAGGTCGAACTTCCTTAAAAATGAGACTTTTCAAAAAAAAATTACATAATGATATATGATTTTTTTGTTGACAATGATAGAGATTTTTACTTTTGGATCAAAACTAACTTAAAAATCTCACCTAACCAAACTAAAACTAACGTATTTTTTTTAGCTAGATTTTACTATACGTATCAAAGGTAAATTAAAATGTACTTAATATTGCTTAAAATAAATAATATATATATATTTTTTCATTATGGTCAGATTGATTTTCGCAAATTTATGGTAAAAACAAATTTTCATTATGCTTATTCGGCAGAGGGCATAATTGCCGACTTGGCCAAACTCACCTGTTCGGCTTATTCGTCACAATCTGAAAAGTTTTCATAATAGTTAGTACATCAACGAATTACATTTACCTATGTCCATATAATAGTCTGGAATTAAATAATTTGTTAATTTTCACCTAAAAAGAACTCTCAAGTTGCTTCTTGAATCTACAGCAAATCTTACCGTCAGAAGCTCCATATGTGCTGTATTACTCTCAAGGGTTTAGCCCCTTTCTTTTGAAAGAGTGTATACGGCAGTAGAGGATTGTGCTCTATTCGACGTATATCTCTTGCTCTATTGGAGGGATTCTCCTTCGAAGGCGCTCCCTCTGAAGAACAGAGCAAGAGAAATGATGGATTGTACAATCCCTTCAGCACAGAGTATTAACCGTAGCCGAAATTCATTTTATTCTTAATATAGCGCAGGTAGAACCTGCAATCATCCAGGAACTTCTGATTGAACGTAACCGAGAAATTTACGAGTACCTTCCATGGCTGGATCTTAATGAACTTTTTCATTTGAAAATGGAAGTAACTTACGTAAGTTTTTGTGTACCATTAGAGTAAGTTTTATTTTCACCATTGTGCACCTTGTTAAATAGCTTATTTTATACTTACAACATTTGATAAAACACTTCATTAAGATTTTAGTTCAGAGTCATTGTTTTAATTATAGTGTAAAAATTATATTAGTGTATATATTAGTGATTATTATATCATAATAAATAATTTAATTCAAAATGCAGATAATTATTTTTTTAATTTTTCTGTTCAAGTAATTGAGATTGAAATTGTGATTAAAACTCCAGAAGAGTAATTGAAATTGTAATTAACTTTGAATCACGTAATTCTCCAGTGGTACAGGGAAATATTTAATCTGAACATAACCAACTCTATATGGTGAGCATAAGTAATTCCGTAAATTTAGTATTACTGTTATTGACAGAATTCTCATACATTTTATTACAATAAATTATTGGTTATTCAGTGTTAGTGGAATATTATATATTAATATATATATATTATATATAATATATAATATATATATATATATTATATTATATATATATATATATATATTATAATATCTACACTGAGGACCTATGTCCTCAGTGTAGATAACGAGGATGCTGGGAAAAATATTTTAATTTCTTCCTGAGGCCATTTGAATTTTCCGGTTCTCTGGCTTAGCCCATTTTTTTATAAGTAAACTAATGTGTATGGCTTACGTAATTTGGTACACAACATTTAAAACATATGTTGATGGTATAATGATATTGGGATATAAAACACATAAGGTTTGGTGGATGTTTGTCAACAACTGCATATAAACCATACCTGCAAGTAACTCAGTGCTGGGAAGCGTACCCATGATACAACAGCACTGAATTTTTTACCCACCTCCTAGAGTATCTTCGATGTATTCTTTCTCCATGAGCCGGGGCGTCCTTGATTCTGCTGGAACAATCATGCAGTGTTGAGCTTGTTCGTCATTGTCTTTAGTTTTTTTTTTTACTCTTTTTATTGACTGCCAGATTAATGAATCAAGAAATGGTGTACTGAAACCATATTCAACACGTTTATCATCTTATGGGATATAAAAGAATTGCAGATAAAGCAGGACAATGTTTTTTGAGAAAGAGAGCACATTTTTTTTTTTACTTTTGCAATATATTTTGTTAATTTCATATATACATGATATGATGAAGCTTTTAAAGACATTATATATTCACGTGTCCAAAGCTTCACAATGTTTGCCGGATAGAATTACTCTAACAATATTTGTTCTTTTTGGAAAAAGACACTTATGTATATTTCAGGATATTTATTGAAGGAAACGTTTCGCCACGAGTGGCTTCTTCAGTCCTTATAAAGATTCCCATATGTTGGATAAATGTATCAATCTTCAACGTTTCGGTTTTCAAACCATTCATCACACTGTATTAGGATGGTAGAAGTAACTCGTGGCCAAACATTTCCTTTAATAAATGTCCTGAACTGTAAAAAAGTGTCTTTCCCCACATCTTGTTGTCATCACCATAACATTTCCTCATTTGCTCTTTGATTTTCAAAGAGACTGTTAGATTGTTCATGAACGTGTGAAGTAACCTGAAGTAACCCAAGATCTCTTTATATAGTAAGTTGTTATTTTAGGTGATCATAGCGGACCTTCTCTTCTTTTCCAGGCCCTCAGTAGACTGTAAAGTGTGATTTAAAGTTTACTTTACGGAACTTGTGAAAGACCAAACCACACCACACACGCAAACACATACACACACATAGTCTAGGACTCGACAACTGCAACTCAAACGAGGTGAGTAAAACTAGGTGAGTACACACACACACACACACACACACACACACACACACACACACACACACATGTATTGGAAAACTGTACATGAAAAGTTTTTTTCATTTTATCATATTCCAATGAACTAATGGCAACCTAGCGAACTAGACGAGTAATACTAAGTAGTTTCTCTGTCTCCACTATCAGACGGAGTCAGAGTCGTCTTTCCACTCAGTCCACTGAATGACCATAATGGGTTTTGAGCTTCACAATAAATATTTTATAAAAATTATTAAACATGCTAACTATACCAGATAATAGCAAGTGTTGATGCTCCACTAACTGATTTGCTTAATATTGATCAAAAGTGCGTATTAATGATTATAAATATAATATATTAATATATATAAACATATATATATAAATATCTATAAAAAAAATATAAATATATATATATACATATATATAAATATCTATATATAACATTATATATATAAAAATAATTAAAATATATATATAATATAAAAATATAATATATATATATATATATATATATATATATATATATCTATTATTTAATAATATAATATATAGATATATATAGGAATATATATATATAAAAAATATAATATATATATATATATATTATAAAATATATGTATAAAATATATATAGTAGAGATTATTAAATATATATATATATAATATATATATATATATATAAAATATTATAGTTGAAGTTTTCTACAGGGGGGTGTATCCTGTTAGGGGCCTCTACAGGGCGGTGTATCCGGTTTAAGGGGCCTTCCTACAGGCGGTGTACCGGTTTTAGGCTTCTACAGGGCGGTGTATCCGGTCTAGGACACCGCTGGAGGGTCCACCTTTCACACCAAGGTGTTACTCCGGTTTTGACCATGACCTCGCCCTCGAGACTACCTCACCCATTGAAACCCCCCAACCAATACCCCACCCCCCACACCCCCCGCCTCGCGACCCCACCATCGCGCCGCGCGCCGCGCGCCCCGCCCGCCCCGCCCGCTCGCCCCCCGCGCGCGCCGCCCCGCGCGCCCAACAGGGCCCTCGCCCTCGCGAGCCCCGCCCCGCCTTCTGCTGTGCGCCTTCTGCAGCGTCATCCGGATCGCCCCCGCGCCTCGAATTTATTTTTTCTTATGATCTCCATGGATCAAGGTTTTTGGATCCCCCTATGGGTTTTCGATATTCTCCATCTCCTTGGATCAGGTTTTTTGCATTCCCCCCTTTGGGTTTTCGAAATTCCCTCGGATCAAGTATTTGGAATCCCCCCTTAGTGTTTCTAAATTCTCCATCTCCTTGGATCAAGTTTTTTTTTGGATTCCCCCTATGGGGTTTTCGAAATTCCTCGGATCAAGTTTTTGGAATCCCCCCTCTGGGTTTTTCGAAATTCTCCTCGGATCAAGTTTTTTTTGGAATCCCCCCTCTGGGGTAACATGCTTACTAACAGGTCCCCCCCCCTAAACATCTTCCCTTATATTTTAAAATGAACTAAAAGTTTCCTCTCATTAAGTTAAATGAACTAAAAGTTTCCTCTCATTAAGTTAAATGACCTAAGAAGGGTGTTTACTCGGCGGTCAGTGACGTCACACATACAAGCTAAATCTTTGTCGACTTACCCCTATGTCAGTGACGTCACGTGATCTGGACCGCGCACACAGGTTGAATCAGGTCGGCCCCCTATGTCAGTGACGTCAACGCGCAACGACAGCAGAATCTTGTACGATCCTTTTAGATAATAAAGGCCATAGTAGTGACGTCACACATACAACTTGAATCATGTCGATCCTTTCAGTTTCATTCAAGTTAATAAGGGACACATATACAAATCAGAGTGAAAACATTTTCATCATCAAAATACGACATTTCAGATAACACTAATACACAATATTTTTTTTTCATTATTTAATTATACAGCCATTACATTTCTGGTAATACACACAAATACAATTTCATTGAAAAAAGCTACAATTCATTGACTAAAATCAACGTAGAGTAATTTTTCTTCTCTTGTAGAAATTTCTGTCATTTTTGTTCAGGGTCATCATCTTCTTCCTCATCTGTCATAACCATAAACTTCGGGGGGGAAGCTGGGGATAATAAATGGGGGAATCCTCATCCAACATAATATGGTATGGGAATTGTCAGAAAATATTCCATCACGCTCCATACGCATTTATTCGCTAATAACAACTACTAACACATTCTCCACTCATATGAGACTGGGAGAAGGGTCGAATCTCGGCGTGGGTATGAGTTACAATATCCTGGTTAATAGCGTTAACATCACCACCTGAGTAGGAGGCACAGTCCCTCCACATCCACATGAGGTCGGGGAGAAGTCTCGTTGGAAGAGGGGTAGCAACAGCATCTCCATATGGATGGTAGGAGGCTGGTGATCTCGCGCCTAACATCCCATCAACTTCACAAATCATTTGCTCCTGTCGGGATTTGATTTCGCGAATAATTCAACAAGCGCATTATATTCGCATCTGCAAAGAAACAAAAAATTCCTCGATTAGAAGAAGAATAAGCATATCTTAATTGCATTAAAAAGTTTTTTATTGGTTAATACATTACACTTCTAAAAATCATTTATGTGTAAAAAAAGATTTTTCAATATTAGAACAAGATTAATGAACAAAAATCACTTACTATTTACCGCAGGTGGATTATTCCGTCATACACAGGGATGCGTCCTTCTCTCCTCCTCGCAGACAACCTCCACGAGTACTGAAATTGGAATTCACCTTGACCAACTTGAATGACAGTAAATCAAAGAGTGACCCACACGGCATTTATAGCAGCGTTATGACGCTTTCGCCCCGCCCACTAACCTTTCGCCCCGCCATCTAACGCCTCTACCCCAACGTATTATAATTCCAATATTTTACACAGATTTTCATAATTCCCAAGATGAATTATTAGCAACTACACTGAACATGAGGGTATATTGAAATGCTCATAATTCATATTTCCTTATAAATTGGTCATTCTTTAATTTATTTCTAACAAATCTTTAAACAAATAGGTATAATTTTCTTGACGCTATAATTTGTTAACTATACACAAAAATATTGCATATAAGCCGCACACCAATGATTTATCATGTTGAATCCCTATTAATACCGTACATGAATTTCTCTTGTATCTACTTTTCTCATATATATTTGTTTTAATGTTTTAAATCCACCCCGAAACCCTACCTAAATATATTAATTATTATTTGTTTCACATATATAGTAATCCAATGACCCATATATTCATCTTGATGTTTCAATATATTAATGATGACAATTACCGGCTTATCATTTATCCTCATAATACTTCATTATATATTTGCGGCAAAACATCCCAAATACAGTCATATCTTCCCCGTATGAAGTTTCAGAGTCACTATTTATTTCTTCACAATTCATGTCTAACTCGCGTATGCACTATCACTGTTTCCATTTTCATTTAAATTTAAAAAATCGCATATAGTTTCACCAAACAACAGACAAATTCTCTTTCAACTTTCGGATTACCAAATGTCAATCTATTCCTGGGAAATTACCATTCTTCTCGACAGATATAGCATATCTTTACCTGTTCACTTCTCAGTAACACCTAATATAGTTCTGCCTTGGAGAAAACCCTTATATGTATATTCAGATGATCAGTCTCCAAACCCAGAGAATTTCAAGGTAGCGTAATATAAACCTACTCGCGTGGGTAGGGAAACTCACAGTCCAATAGTAAGAACAAGATCTGAAATTAATTGTAACCCCAAATGGTTCAAATCTTCATGTTGAAAATATAATGGATTAAAATATATCCTCCATCATATGTCTTCATATCAACTAATATAATAATATCTATCGGGTAGACTTGTCCCCAAGGTTATCGGCGATCAACTTGTTTGATTAGATGTCAGAATATATTGATTTAAATAATGTCATTTCTTGAACAGATATTCCCTACCCAGCGGGTTTGCCCTATGCAGAATTCAATGCAATTAATGCATTCCGTATACGGATAACTTTTAGCGATCCATAATTTAATGAATTAATATTATATATATGTTTTTCCGCTTAATTGAGTCATAATTACCCATGCGGGTGCATGCAATTCAAGTCTCACTCTACATTCCGACACTATCCAGGATATATTCGTG